AAGATGAACAGATTAATCCTTCTTCCCAGCATCGATCTTATAAGAATCGTGTGGATCTACAGGACAGACAGATGAAGGATGGAAATGTTTCTTTGATTCTGAAGAACGTGACGACTAATGATAATGGAACATATGAGTGTGGAGTTCTGTATGAAGGAAGTCATGAGATAACGCCTATCAGCAGCATCCATCTGAACGTCCGTCTCCAAGGTGAGTCTGTCTGTGTCTCTGCATCACAGCTTTCAGCAGCTTCCTGGTTGTTAATGACAGAGAATCAGATCAGATCACAGCTAATTCATCTTTCTCTGCAGGAGACGAGGACACAGTAAAGAAGAATGGAGGGAACAAGGACACACCTGTTGGGCTCATAGTTGGTCTGATCTCCTTGTTGCTGCTTGTGTTTCTTTTCTTATCTATATAATCCCCTGTGGGAATACTTCCCACTGATTAATATAAAGCATGGAAGGTCTGTTACCTTTAAGATGTCTTTTCTGCTTTGACTAATGCAATGTTTTATATATGACCCTCTCCTAAGATCAATACTAAAGATGATGAGGAAATATCTTTGCTTGAACAATTAGTTGAAGTGAAAAGGAATGGATTTAAATAGTCACAATGATACATTTAATTATTTTTGGCCTTTTTCAGAACCTGTAGTTTAGAGACCACACCAAAGACAGTTTAGAGCTGGTAATAAAATCTGCGCTCAGTGATCAGATCCCAGTTATATCCTTTTAATAGAGATGAAGTCATAAGCCTGGTTAAAAGCCTTAAATCAGCTGACAGTAGGGATGGGAATCGAAAACCGGTTCCTGTTAAGAACCGGTTCCGTATTTTCCGATTCCATGGCATCGTTTGGCAGCTCGCTGAACGATTCTTTTTTCGATTCCCGCAGCACCAGAGCCTAGAGCGCCGGCTCTGGGGAGCACGACTTACGTCACNATCATTTGTTATTAGACATTGTTGGTTATTAAGTTTGTTCTTGTATTCATTTTTCATTTAAACACAGATGTTACTCCAGTTTCACATTTCCTGCGGACATCTTGATCTTGTTGAGTTTGTAAGATTGTGCAACAAAGTTGATGTTGATAATCAAACTGTTTGATCTCCTTTTTCCCCCAAATTGGAATCGAAAAAAGAATCGAATCGTTTCATAGAATCGAAAAGGGAATCGGAATCGTGAAAATCTTTTCAATTCCCAACCCTACTAACGATTACAAATCTTAAGTTATTGTCTTATTAGTTTTTATTTTTTATTTTTATTTTCTACATTTGGCTAAACAACAATGCAGACCCTCTAAGAGGCTGTAGATTCTATAAAAACTCTCCATGACAAAAGACAGCACTTCTGTGGATGTCTGATTTTGGTAGCTGTGATGGAATTTAAGTTTTTAAACATATTCAATGGACCAAAATAAGAATAAATGAATAAGATAAGTAATAATAAAATAAGAACATCGCTCTGGTTCCTCTTATATCAATCCTGGATAACTGAGTTGTTCTGCACATCCTCTCTGAATGTGGTTGGTCTTTTCTTGGGTGGCGGATCTTTTAAAAAATAAAACGCAATGGTTCTTTGTGAGGAAAACCTGAAAGCTAAGAATTTAGTTTAGTTATTGTGGGTTTAATTATTCCTAAAATCCAACAGGAGATTATTAAACTAAACTGAGCAATAATTATTTAACTTGTGAGCAAAACATGGACTAAAACTGGGACTAAATCAGGAAAATAAACTAGAGCAAACAAGAAGTATAGCTCAGTAAAAAAAAAGCACTAGATGTAGAGAAAACAAACCTTTTAATCTGATCGTACACTTTACTCTCCAGTCATAATTAAAGCTGAATTCTGTATATTTTATTCATATTCACTCAAGTGCTTCACTGCTTAAAATCTTCATTAATTTACAAAGTGAATTATCTTAGTCCATGAAAAAATGTAGCATGTTTTCATATATTATTTGTAATGCATGTGTCTAAATAACAAAGATTGTAGTTCTCGCCGTAAAGCAAGACCGACTCTCGCGATGCCGAGGGCTCCTGCAATTGCAAGTGCGGTATTTCCCCTACAGACCACCAGGGCGGCCGAGAAAACCTTTGTTCGACCTGAAATTACTCATTTAATCATCCAAAACGTTATGGAACACATTAATTAACTGAAAAATGTTGCATAGTATGCCTTTAAAATAAGAGAGTGAGACACTTTACCATTGGAACATGACAATATACATTTAAAATAAGAAAAAAAAAGAACTGCAGTCTCTTATTTCAAGTGAATAATATCTAATTATCTTATTATAAGGGTAAAAATGCTAATTCCATTGGAAAATCATCCTATTTTCCTACTCATATTAAGGTTAAATAGACTTATTTTAAGACATTTTTACTCATTTTCAGCAACTTTTTGCAGTGTAGCAAACAGCCGCCATACACTGCAAAAAATTGAAATCTAAGTAAGTTTATTTTTCTTTAAAAAAGAGCATTTCTTTCTTGAATTAAGCAGTTAAGTGATACACTTTGCCAATGGAATAAGGCAATTTACATCTAAAATAAGAAAAAACAATTGCGTTGTCTTATTCCAAGTGGATATTATCCAATTATCTTATTTTAGGAGTAAAAATACTCCTTCCATTGGCAAATTTTATTATTTAGTTGCTTGAATTAAGCTAAATACACTAATTTTAAGACATTTTTACTCGTTTCCAGATTGTTTTTGCAGTGTAGCATTTTTGCATCACCTCAGTGCTAGTCACAGTGTATGTTATTATGGAGGTATATCTGCTGTTATAAAATATACTTCACCTTCATTTCTATTTATTTAGTAATATTAACATTTTAATTTGGCATTGGAGGGGAAAAACAGGCACAAAATGTCTTTTTATACGTACATGCATATCAATTCAGGCTTCAAAGGGTTAAAAAATCCCACATTAACTACCCCATATATATATACTGATTCTAAACAATTTAAATAAGTTTTTTTTTAAACTCGTGCATTTAGATTTTGATCTTATTAAGTAACAGAGAGGAATATCTGGTAAAATTACAAATATATAGTTTTAAAAGTTTAACTTTAAGGGTTTAGAACTGATTTTTAAACATTTTTAAACAAAATGTTTTAATCTAAATAATCTTTTTATAGTTTTTAGCAGCAGTTTGTTTCTGTCCTTAAAACAAATGGCTTTTAGATCTGTATTGTTGAGCATGCTGCAACTTTTAGAAATGTTTGGACATAATTATTTTTAATTCCTAACAACTCGTTTGAGGATGACATAAATAACTGTACCGTGTTTCAGCTCATTATGGTGAGAAATCCAAAATTTCATCCTTTGATCGGCCGTCCTTTTCTTCCAAACCACTTTGCGCTCTAAAGTAGAGACGTATTTCTGCAGAGTGTTGAAAGCATCAGCTGATCATGTTGATTTTTGTGTACTGCCTCTGTGCTGCAACACTCTCCCTAGGTTATAAAAGCCTCCTTAGAAAGTCACAGGACCACAGAGTGGTTGGAGAGTTGAAATAAGAAAAATAAAAGTCCATAATGGTGCCTTTTATGAGCCCCGTTCATGTGATCAAGGGATGCACTCGGAGGCCTTCCCTGCATTTAAAAGCGTCTGAATCTCCGTTGATCAAGTTCTGATGATTCAAGGTAGGATTGTGTGTCTATATTAGGGGAAACCATCAGGTATCATCTGCTGATTAAAAACCTCCGGCATCAACAGTGAGTCTCTTAAGGTCTGCTCCCATTAAAGCCATTGATTATCATCATAGCAGCCAGAACATCCTGTTCTATGTAATAGTAACTGTGCCTCGGCTGATAGCTTAAAGAGCTTTTTAATAAAAACTTCATTCAGGCTTCATATGTCCAGAGTAGAACTGTTAAACCCAGATACCAATCAGAGTCATTCAGGATTGATATTTGTAGCGACCAAGTTCATCGCTGCCAAATATACAGATAAAACAAGGATTTTGAACAGTTTAAAATTTTTATCACTGTTTTCTATTTGCTAAATGCCAAAGCAGCTGCCTTTATCTCCTGATTCTTAGAGATGGAGTAGAGACTTACTAAACCCCTTAGGAGCAAATTTCGCCTAAAATAACATATGTGAATTAAAGCAAGTACAGTTGCAAACTATAAA